GGTTATTTTTTTAACAAAAAACAAATCGAACTTACAAATAGTGAACAAACCGGAAGTTGGCTGTGAGGGTAGACTAGTAGAATTGGAACGTAACGTAATGTTTTGTAAACTTAGTAAATGTTACTTAACTATGTACCTTTATGTTTTTTTTATATATATATATAAAACAGAAGTGACAAACGGACTTACTGTCCACCCGATCTTCAGTCCTTTACGTTTTGATTCTTAACCAAAGATAGATTTTTGTCTGATCTGATTTGGGTCGACAGCATCCATTACCATCAGTTGGATTGTCTGCTCGCTTGTCACACTTATGTCTATAAAAAGAAATGTACAACAGACGTTCCTATGTCTCTGAAAGTATTGATCAGAAACCTTAGTGTAAAGAACTGGAGACAGTGGAAAAGCCACATAAATTACGAGAGTGTTCATGTCATGTTATTCCTCTCATACCCAACATCTATTTATATGCTTCACACTTGTAAATAATTAATCAGACGTCCGTACACTGATGCTGTGAATAGGGTTGCACACATTATCGTATGTATTATGAACTCATAACCTTACTATCCTCCTAATAATCTACCTCCTAAGGGAACCTGATATAAAGACTATTTTATGTTAAATGTTATATTTGATATACGAGTTTGATAAAACCTTGTGGCAAGACCGAGAATCTTTTTTTAAATAAATAAATGGTATTCGATTTTTAAGACCAAGGAGTTTTTAATTAAAAAGATTTTAATATGACAGGAACAGTGGAAATATTCTATTCCCGATACTTTTAGTGCAGCCCTCGTATGTATTAAACACTGATAATACTCTCGGCGACCATTTCTTGAAATGCTAGAAGTGGTTGACGACTGTAGTTGAAATAGATTCCAGACCACAACCTTTTAATATCATATGGGTCCGATCCGTAAAAAAAGGAAGTATATTTAGAAAAGCTATAGATTTACAATATAGAAATAAAAAAAAAACAAAAAAGTAGAATTGAAACCTTCAAATTAAATGAAATATAAAATATTTCACGTCAAATATGATTTCTTTTAAATTAATTATGTAATAAGATAATTTGCAACCACAAGTGCGACGTAAATTATAAGATAAAATTTTTATTTTATAATAAATAAATGTTACATCCTTATTTTTAGATTAAATTTTAGTGTAATAAAATCAAAAGAATATTTTCCATCGAGAAAAAATTGATTTGAAACAGCGCCATCTACATACTTCATTCTATAGGTAAAGTCACTATCGAACAAAAATTGATTGACTTTCAAGATGGTACGTAAAATAGAAGCTAGATAGTCTGAAGTTATGACATTGTAGATTGTTATGAATGGATTGGTTAAAATAATTTTATTCAATATGCTTAATTTAATTTATTTTATAAAATTGTTAATATTTAATATTGTTTATTTTAACAGTTGAAATTTATATTAAACATCTTTAAAGCAACGCACAAAGAGGAGACCGAGATAATAGGAAACGCTATTTAAAACAAATACTAGCAATGTTATTAACATTATTAGTAATGAAAAAAAACCCTTTAACCACTCCTGGTAAGCTAAAAAGGCTTGTGTTAGGAGTCGTTCACGACAGTAGTCCAATGGCGGATTCGAACCCACAACCGTTTGAGTTGGCGGTCTGCAGCCTGCCATTAGGCTATTGTCGCTTACTACACTGTATTCTATCTCATTCTTTCGCAGGCTAAATCCTGTATGTGTATATTATCTTTGTCTCGTTTCATCGTATTTCAAATCACAACGATACTAAAGAAGTTTCACTTCAAAAACGTATTATTGATTTGGCATTAACTTTATTTCTCTTATTTACCCATCTAATATATTTTATTAATACTGTGCTCGTAAATGCCGTGTTTGATCCGAAAACTTTATAAAACCCTAGCCCTGGCTGTATTTATTGAGCCGTTGAAAACACGCATGGCGTATTGTAAAGCTCACTGGAACGTCAACTATGCGGACTGCGTCGTAGCGGATTTATTTGTAGCGTTGCTACTATTGGAAGGGACCTTTGCAAAAATTGTAGAAATGTTTATCCAGATCCACTTAATTGTTTCCAAATTAGAGGTTTTGTTGGAGGGTTGGTTTTTTACTTGGTAGAGCCATATTAATAATATAGTTGTAGCACGAATGGTGCGTCTCGACCGGGGAAGGACCACGCTCTCACAGAAATACCAGCGTAAAATACCAACTTAATGCTGCTGTGTGTCGATTGATGAGTAGAGAACCGAAGACCCTTTTTACTGGAAAAGAGGCATTCTATCTCAGTCCTCACGGCTGGTAACGCATCTGCATTTTAATTCGCAAACTAAGAGAGATGTAGATGTCTATGGGCCACAGCAACCATTTACCAACAGGTGGACTGTGTGCTCGTTTGTCACCCTTATTCTATAAAAAAAAGGGTAAACACTTACGCAACAATTGCAATACCAGGGGAAGTGCAGGCCTTTTCTTGAAGGGCCCTAAGCCGTTACAGCAGTTACTTGATTTATTTTAGTTTTTTAATTGCACTAATTATCCTGCTTAGAATATGTTGCGATGCAAAAAAAAAAACAAAGCAGCAAGACGTCCCAATCTCTGGCAAGGGTTGCTCGTAGGCATTTACGTTGTTAATTTGTTCCTAATACATGTGACCTTGAATTCCTGTTTGCCTTGAACATTGTTCCTGACCGATAAACTGTGTTTGGAACAAAGTTCAATATTGAATTCGGAATTGCTTATTTAATATATTACTGTAATTATGTTTTTCATGTTTATTTGCAATAATAGTCAGTTTAAAAAATGCCTAAATATGATTTTTCAAGTCTTTCTTACTTGCAACGTAGAGTCATGAATACATTCTCACTTCAAAATAATGTCGATAATTTGAATAATAAAAAAAAATTAAAAATGAAAAAAAAATTGAAAATTTTAAATTAATTAATAATTATAACAAATAAATTGATTAAAAATGTTTAATTTTTATTTTTAAATATCTCATAATAAATTTTAATATCGTCATTTACAAATCTTTCTAGTCTCGCCAATATAATACGTGAGTGACAAGCTAAATGGTTAAAACAGTAATTAAAAAACCTGACTGCGATAAAAAAACTTTGATCTTCCCTCTCTTTTTTGTAATTGCGCAGTATAAAAATATTATAGCCTATGTCAACCACTATTAAGACGATTCTAACGACACCACCTATATGTATATCCATCAAGCCGCTTAAGTTCTACTCGTCGAGGAGTTCCAGTAGCAGATATCGAAGTACACCTTCAGGTCTCCATAAAGTCAAAGACGTAAAAGTATTTTTATATATAAATCTTGCTTATACCGAAACAAAATATTGTAATAAAAATCTGTGATTATAAAAATAATAATAATATCTTACCTTGGACAAGTATGTATCAAATTTGGTTTTTGGAATATTTTGCATTTCTACAGCGATCGATATTTTTCAGCACGAGCCGCTGTAACAAACGATCACTCACGACGGCGGCTGAGCCCGGAGTAAAAGAAAATTACTCTGTGGGCGGGAGTGAAGCAGTGTATTTAATAAAATAAATTAATACAAGGCTGCTCAAAATACAGAAAATTTCGCTATTTTCGAAAAAAATAATTATAACTAAACAAAACAACATTAAACTGCCATTTACATTCCGTGGCTTCCCACATGATAGATGAAGAGTTTAAAAAATAGCTTGAGTTGAACAATTGATATTTTCAAAAGTTATAGTGTTTACGCCTCCATGCGGACTTGATAAATCTATACCTTATGCCACGAAAACCTCTTTTTTATGTAAAAATAGCAATTGATCGATTAAAAAAAATATAACATGTTCAACAATCATTTATCTTTCTAACAATGTGCTTTTTATATGATTTATATGTTCAAATGATTGTTAGATACGATTTCATGCGACAAAACGTTGGAACCTTGATTTTTATGCGCTAGAAGAGCGTACCTACGCGCTTTGCGCGTAAGGCATGCAATATATTTCTTCATCAATCTCTTTCAAATTATGATCGACAGCATAATTCTTTCAAAGCCAAAAAACGATCCGTCACGTGCAACCACAACGCTACCGTGCAACAACTCTATTAGCCTGGATTATATGAAATTCAACTTACCGAGACATTGATAAAATTTCTTGAAAGTTGCAAATATCAACTTTATTTATTGTCCACTGCTGAACATAGGCCTCCCCCATAGATTGCCTCATATGAAGCGACAGTCGCCTTATGGCAGGGTGCGGACCGTGAAGTCCGAAGGTCGTGGGTTCGAATCCGCCATTCAACTACTGTCGTGAACCACAAAAAGTATTTTAAGCTTACCAGCACTGGTTACAGAAAATGTTAGTTAATAGCGTTAATAGCGTAATGTCAATAGCGTTGCTAGTGTTTTTTAATTAAAAATAAAATAGTGGGAATATTTGCCATAGTTTCCGCGCTTGGCAGGCGGATCGGCAACCACAGCTTTTTTATAAGTGTGAGTTTTTATCAGGAAGATGCTGCCGTTCATCTTCAGTGTAGTTTGTTAATTCTCTGTGAACGGTGAAGCATCAGCTTCTATAAACAACGGAAGTCTGCAACAGGATGAAGAAAAAATTACACAAACAGTTTGACTGTATAAGTGGTTTTAATTTTTATTATATTTTAGCAAGGTCTTATTCTAATATTTTGCTTCTTTAGTCTTGTTTTTCCCGTAAAACCTGGAAACGTAAAATTACAACCTCCTTTCAACTTAAAACATGAAAACCTTAACATACTACCTAACAGCTGACACAAAGTGTTTTTATGGGTCCGCGACAAAACATGACAGATATTATCTTTATTAAAAAGGAATCAGTTGAAGACAGAAAAGCGGACAATAGTACTCACTGTCTCTAAATTATCTAAAAGATAGATGTAAAGAATTTAAAATAAAGTTGGTCTGTAATAATCTGTTTGTCTTTAAACGTAAAGATGAGGATGAGGGTTAAAACAAGTCCCTACGACGTCGACGGTTTGTCTTGAAAAGTTATATTCTTTAATACTTTTAACATTTCAATCTTTGCTTCAAACTTCTGTTCATCACTTAATTTTTTAAAACATGGTACTAGTGATAACATGAATTGTCTATCTTCGTCGCTTTCATGTTTTTTCATGTCTCTTAGTATATGAAGTATGCTCTCTTCGGCCGTCTCGTTTCTTTCATAAACGTATGACCGTTGTAAATTACTCGGTTCATTGTTCTCTACTATATTTGTTTCCTTGGAATCTCTTGTTTTTGAGGTGTCGCTAAAACTGTACACAATTTCTACATTTTTGTGATCACCTTCTAAGGGATCCGAAGAATCGTTGTCATCACTCTCCACTTCTGCATCAGGGTTGATTAGAAAAGACATCATATCAAAATATTCGTATTTCTTTCTTTTTCTCATCGGTAAACCGTCGGGATCCTGCTTCACTTTTTCTAGTTTCTCCTGTTTCTGAAAGCATAGTTCTCGTGTGAAGCAAGTCCGGAGGCTCTTCCAGCGCTTCTGCAGTTCGCGAACTGAAACGGTAAAGTGAATTTTAGTTCGTCTAAGTGTTCTGTGTTCAGACGCAAATAAAACTGTTTTATTCGAAAAATATTTTCCTACGCGACTTCAGAATTCTCGAGTTGGAAATTGTTTCGTCGCGTCTGTATAGCTCTAAATAAATCATGTTCTGTAGCTTATTTGGGAAGTCGAAGTTTTAACAGTGCATTACTTGGATTGAATCAGTTGAACGTATGAAACATGTGCAAGTAATTTTTTTTTCATAAATTACAAAGTTCGGTGTGGGATTTTTTAAAGATTACAGTGACAAACGCTAGCAGTCCACTTGATGGTAAGTGGCTACTTAAACATAAAGAAGACAAATAATTATATATTATAACATAAATAGTGAGATTTTAAATATAATATCTATCTAGCTATACTATAATAAAACTAACACGACGTCTGTCTGAACATGCATCACGCAAAAACCTGTGAACCGATTGGAATGGGACTTTCACTGGCAGATAGCTGATGTTATAAGGAGTAACTTAGACTACTTTTGTTTTAGGGTACCGCGCAAAAAATACTATGCGGCGAAGTCGCGTGGAACAGCGAGTAGATAATAAAATTATAACAGATATTAATAACATATACAAAAGTTAATTAATATAAATTTGCGACGTTTATTAAAGTTTTAAGGTTAATTAGATAAAATATCTGATTTTTGGTGATATTTAAGTTACTAAGTTCGTTGTCAATTTATAAACAATTTACTTTGCACGGTATCGTCATCGAATGCCAAAGCAAAATAATTGCGCACGCTTCGCTTACGATAACTGATACCGCGCGTTCATGCGAGGAAGGTTAGCTGATTAACTTTTAATTGAACGAGTAACATTGAATAAAAGCGATTTTACGGAAAAAAAGACGTTCAAAATTAATTAACTAAGAACCGCGAAAAAAATTAAAATTGTTTGTTTCTTATGTTGGTAGTTCCAAGAGATAAAACACATTAAAACTTAGCTAATTATTTTAAACATCTGTAATATAATAGGATATTAGTAGGATTTCCGCTTCTATTAATAATTTTACGGATTTAATATCGTTTAATTTTAACTTTTTTTTTAATTCCCGACGTTTCGGTTGGTCAATCATTATGTGAACGAGTGATATCGAACACGGATCTCTTTTCATGCTTGGACGAGTTGGCGCTAAAGTAAGACGTGCAAACATGTGATACTGACAGCACTACAAACAAACAAAATGAATGAATCGTTTTCGACTTGAATAGGTCGTTCTCACGTTCGAAAAAATTCGTACGCTGACTTCATCGAATTGCACAGAATGAACGGCGCACCGAAGTACATTTTACGTTTAAATAAAATTAACAACTATTTTGATGTTTAGATAAGATTTAATTTTATTTGGTTAACACATTGAAGATGACCGACCTATTTAAATCAACCAGTGCAAATGCCGTTTGCTTTCAGCGTTTCTATCGTCAACCAGAGAGCAGAAATTTTCTTTTATACTCCCTTAAGACTGCCGGGGGTGAAGTATGGCGATAATTTCTCTTTACTTCAACTGCATTTATTAGCTGTAGGTATATTATGAAATTAAAAAATTTGTACAACCGACTTCAATATAAATTATTAAGAATAACTCAAAAACTATTGGTCAAACCTTGATGAAATTATATGGGACCACATGAGAAGCACCAGATTTTAAATAAAAAAGGAATCATTGAAATCGGTTCACCCAGTAAAAATTTATGAGGTAACACACATAAAAAAAATATACAGTCGAATTGAGTACCGGCTCCTTTTTGAAGTCGGTAGAAAATCATGTTGAATATCCCGACTTTTCATTAATTATTGTGACGTATTTAAATCTGTAGACTGCACGGCGTAAACACTCGAGGCCCTTATTTGTGTATTCTAACAGAAAATCGCATCGCTATATTACATTTATCTTACTTATCTACTCCATGTTAGCGATAGTAGGAAACAAACCGGCAGATCAACAAAGAAGAGAAGAAAAAGAGAAACAGAAGTATCGTCTTCCCAATAACAACTAAAAAAAAAATGCGGTTGACAAGCATGGCAACTAATGCAATATCCCCCCCCCCCCCCCCCCCATGAGGCAGTATATGTGGGAGGCCTATGTTAATCAGTGCACTTTTGATAGTCTGTAATGGTAATATTTTAATGACACGGTAAGAGACAAAATAAATTATTCCATTCATAATTTCCATTCCATTCTACATTCAGATAACTTTCGTAAAAACAACGTTGACAAAAACATGCAAATAGTACAGCCTTTATTAAGATATGTATCACAAATACGTTTTATTACGCTACTTTTGTTTTGAGACGACTGCCAAGTCGTTATTATGAAAATGATATAAAAGTTCTTTTATGTATACTATCGTGAAGATTTCTTTTTAGGAATGAGCAGAATTGTGCTCATATGGAATAGACTGATAGCAGTTATATGTCTGTTGTTTTATATTTTATTTTATTACCACGTTTTATGTACTCGCTTTCGTGTATGTCTGTTCGAGTAAAATTTAATAATTGATTTTAAACTATTTTCCCGCTGAACCAAAGACCCTAACATTTTGAACATAGTTCAGAATCGGATAACAATGTAAGAAAACGTGATAAAACAAATGTGGTAAAATTAAAAATTTTGTACAACCGACTTCAATATAAATTATTAAGGATAACTCAAAAACTATTGGTCAGACTTTGATCAATTTTGTATGCGACCACGTGAGATGCACCAGCTTTCAAATAAAAAAAGAATCAACGAAATCGGTTCACCAAGAAAAAAGTTATGAGGTAACACACATAAAAGAAACATGCAGTCGAATTTAATACCTCTTCCTTTATGGAGTCGGTAGAAAACAAAATGAAGTTGTACAATATCTAGCAAACCCGAGGGCGCACAGACTTTTAAGATAGAAATTTGCCACCCTGAAACAGTCCATCTGATAGTTGATGCTATGCATCATAGACAGCTACGTCCACCTTGGATTACGTACTAACAGTTACTATAGATCACTGTTACAGTGTATTAAAGTACACTGCTGAATATAGGCCTTCATCATAGATTTATTTGCCATAGATGCCACGCTTGACAAGCGCGTTCTCAACCGCTGTTTTTTTTTTATTTTAAGCCGTTATTATGGAGACGCCGCGGCCCTTCTCCTGATTTGTTTCTCTCCGTCGTCTTTATACGACACCCACGGGATGGATATCCCTACACCGAAATTACACAGCAAATCATAGATTAAAGTAAAGTTGCAGCCTATAATATACGTGTCACTGCTGCGCACAGGCCTCCTCTCATTTCTGAGAGGGTTTTAGGGCAAGGAAATGTCCGCCGCGCTGCCCCAATGCGTGTTGGTATACTTGACGTGTTCGAAATATTTTTTTTCTTATTTCTCAGACATGTTTCCTCACGATGTTTTCCTTCACCGCCGAGCACGTGGTAAATCAGCACTTAAAATTGCAATTAACAATTTCATTAATACCGGCGGGGATCGAATCCGGTGTGTCCGGGTCGCATACTGTGAAACTTACAGCGAGCTCTAATCAACTGAGCTACCGCGGCTCTCTACTAATCTAACCTAACCATAGATTAGTATATACATAACTATATATTGGAAGAGTTATAATAATATCACGCAAATTTAAGACTTAAAATAATTACATTAAAGAGGATACTTCAAAGTGTCATCTCCCGGATAGAGAAACACCATTTTTAAACTGTAGTAGATTATAAAACAAGTTGACATTTGACAAACGACATTTTATATTCTTACGTCGGAAAATAAAGAATTTTCATTTCATTTTGTTTTTATAGAATAAGGGTGACAAACAAGCACAAATTCCACCTAATGGTAAGTGGATGCTGTGGCCCATACTTAATCATTCCTCGATTAAAAATCAAAATGCAGATGCGTTGTCACCCCTGAGATTGTAGATGGAATACCTCGTTTCCAGTAAAAAGGGTCTCCGTTTCTCTACACTCACCATAGGAAACTCAGCAGCATTAAGCTGCGAATTCACGTTGGTATTCTGTGAGAGCGTGGTCCTTTTCTGATCGAGTCGACCCATTCGTGCAACAATCATAATATAGCTGCAGCGTGACTACATAAAATTTTAAAGATCACCTTTATCAACAGCGTTGATAAGCCGTCATTAAGTAAGTCGTAAGAATCCTCCGAAAGATAGTATTAAGGTCTCACTAACGCTAGAAGTGGTGTTGGGAGTAGTGGCGCTTGGAATATTGGTAACGGGGATAGTGTACGCAATTGACGGAGGGCGGAAGGTGCTCCTCAAACTAGTTAAGACACATCATTTTATTTTACTAAGCCGATCTTCGAAAGTTAATTTTCTACCGACTTCAAAAATGAAACGGTATCCATTCGACTGTATGTTTTTATTAATGTGTGTTACCTCATAACTTTTTCTGGGTGATTCGATTTCGTTGATTTTTATTTGAAAGCTGGTGCTTCTTATGTAGTCCCATATAAATTTGATCAAGGTTTGACCAATAGTTTATAAGTTATTAACTTCCTTCTGCGTAGCATTGAAAGGAACTTAATGGTTTTAGCTGGCAGTCTGTTAGTCTGTATGCCGACACGATAACTTCCGTTCCACTGGACCGATTGACTTTAAATTTGGTATGTGGATACCTTGGGGTAGTAGCTCGGTCGAGTTTGAATTTGGGTCCTGTAGGTCAAAGGGCACCAGAGATATGGGATTCACGCAGAAGGAAGTTGTTTTTCTTTAATTTACATTCCACTCGTTCTTAATATATTGAAGTCGGTTGTTCACAATTTTTAATTTAAAATTATTAAAATCTTTAACATGCGGATTTCCCCAATAAACCGTATAACGGCATTCATGCGAAATCTCACCCGAAAAGCATTACATTTAACTACTAACAAACTTCGCTTGGGCTTCATTTTGCCTTAACTTTAAGCCCTTAAGGTTTTCTTAATTAGCGGAGTAATCCGCTCACCGCCAAAACAAAAGCTTTTGTGGGTTTTATCACCATCACGTAACGTAAACAACGATGTTACCCCGTAACTGTAACTTTTATATCGAAGTAAGGGAGATAAACGAGCACATAGTCCACCTGATGGTAAGTGAACGCTGTGGCCCATGGACACTTCCACCTATCCTCGATTAGGAATGCGTTGACAACCTTGAGGTCTGAGATGGAACGCTTTTGTTACCAGTAGGGTCCTCGGTTCTCGTCACTCACCATAACGAACACTATACTGCTATTTTACACTAGAATTTTGTGCAGGGTCCTTCCCCGGTCGAGCCGACCAATTTGTCACCAATTTACACTTTACTCTGCTTCTACTACGTTATTAATAAACGTAATACTTTTATCTTACCTCGGTTTAATTACACAACTGCAACAGTTACATTGTATGATTAACTGATAAAAAGTTGTATAGTGTGAATGCGAGGTTCAGCTGTGAGAGTATCTGATACCGAGGTTCGAATCCCAGTCACAATTCCTGTGTATAAATCGCTACAAAGAAATTTCAACTTTATGTCGTTCAAATTAAGATTGAAACATAATTATAAATTTAAAATTGATAACAACTAAGAGGCGAATACATAGTTATAGTCTATAGTAATGTAAAATAACTGAACGTAACGTTTCAATATATCATATAATTACACATGATATATTTCACGTTTGATAACGAACAGTCTTCTACATTCATACGCACCATATTCGTTTTGTTCATACGGCTTCCACTCTCCCCAGTTGGCGTGCACTTCTTCCCCGACCTCCCTCCACAACTTATCTTTAAACCCGCGGTGACCGTAGTACATGTTGTCATTTTTATCGTACAATGCTGGCCGCTTTTTAATTGATTTGATCAACTTTTTCACGTCAATTTCGCCCATTGTTAAAAAAAAATCGACGTGTTTTCAACCTCGCAAACACTGCGCAACTAAGATGGCGGCGAGTTGGCTGCACTGCCGTTGAGCGAGTATCGCGCTACTACATTGTTGCCACACTGCGATTTAATTCGGGACAATTTTATCATTTATTATTTTAAATATAGAGTCTTTCTGTTTCAGACATACAGTGTGATCTTAGAAGTTATATAATCAATAATATAAAATAAAAATTAATGAAATATATTACTGTTTTATTTTTAAATTTGTATCTTTACTCTTTCTTTTAGTAAAAGATTACTACGCATATATATATATATGATGTAATAAGACTAAACATACAAATGAAAAATATAACAATTAACTATAAATAAAGGCTCCTGTCGCTTTGAAATATTAGCAGTTTCTATTTTGACATCTTCACCATAATGAATTACTTCTATATATGATATAGAAGAGAAGTATTTATACTTTATTTTAATTACCGTGTTTAAAATTTCTTTTTAAAAAATGTGTAACTACTGGTCCGCATTACGGAATTAAACAACGCTTAACGTTGCTCTCTCTTTTCTCGTTAAATGACATTAGAAAGAGACAAGTATAGAAATAATTAATATTTAAGTCCGTATATGTATATATTAGGATACGTTTAAAATTATTTCTTATCGCGTTATAATACAATGTGTGGTCACAGTAAATATAAAGTCGCCGTTCGCCGAGCACGTAATCTACGCAGTCTTCGTAGCGTGAAAGCGAGAGAAAGAGACACACACATCTTACGTACGGGTTAGAATGAAACAGACGATTTAGTTGTAAGCGGTCGCTTCAACACGTGTGCGTTGCTTAAAGGTGGCGGCGCAACTTGCGAGCACAGTCGTCAATAAAAACATAAACGTTAAAGATAATAACTACCTACGACATTTATTGTAATGACCTAAATAATAGTTTTGTAACTTTAAACTGATTCGTAGTCAGACTTACTGTTTAAAACCTATTTGAGTAAGATTTTTTCACCATTATCTTCATCATAGCCTCACAATGGTGACATTTGCCATAGTTACCACGATTGGCAGGCGGGTTAGCAACTTTTTTTATAGTATAAAGGTGACAAACGAACACATAGTCCACTGTGATGGTAAGTGGTTGCTGTGGCCCATAGACATCTACATCTATCCACGTTTGCGAATCAAAATGCAGATGCGTTTTAACCCGTAAGGACTAAGATGGAATATTTCGTTTCCAGTAAAAGGGGTCTCCGGTTCTCGACACTCACCATACGAAACACAGCAGCTTCAAGTTGCTATTTTACGCTGGTATTCTGTGAGAGAGTGGTCCTTCCCCGGTCGAGACGACCCATTCGTGCTACAACTATACTATTAATATAGCTAGTGTAGAGAACCGGAGACCCTTTTTACTGGAAAAGAGGCATTCTATCTGTGTGACAACGCATCTGCATTTTAATTCGCAAACGAAGATAAGATGTCTATGGGCCAAGGCAACCACTTACCATCAGGTGGATTGTGTGCTTATTTGTCAGCCTTATTCTATAAAAAAAAAAAGAAAAAAAGCTATAATAGGCTGCAGCATAGCTACTTGAACCACAAAGAATATGTAATTTTAAATACATTCTGAACGACAGGTAAGTAGCACATATTTAAGAATCTTCGTCTTATTATGTGTGATAATATTAGCGTCTATAGTTCATTCCTTTTTATTTAACATTATTTATAAAATAAGTGTGTTTAAATGTATATCTATGTAATTCATGGTATATTTATTAATTTATCCATATGTGTGTACATGCGATGGATCTAGGGCCTCATCATCGCTTCCGAGTGTATGTACGTGTCATATGTCTATTTCTTTGGCACGCTATGTAGTCCAAATGCCTTAATTGATCTTAACATAACCTGTCATTAGTGTCGTCTTAGGTGCAGAAATGACATAGGATATAAAACTTTTCTCTTTTCAATAGACTTTACGCAATCTTTTTTCAATCTTTAGGCTTCTTTACCAGCCTCTGTTTATCTCTGCACTACTCTAACTAGACTGGTAGAGAACGCTTCATTCATTAAAATCACCTATAAACATTTATTTGTATATGAAGTTAAAAGATTAAATAAATAAATAATTAACGTGAGAATATTTTTCTTTCACAGTGGAAGTCGCGATGGTGTGTTATGCGGAAGCTATCGCCAGTAGCAGGTATGAATTATTTTTATTATCTATACTTTTAACTGTAGTAGCTGAAGGTTAAGCGTAAATTGAGCGACATTTCATAGTACGAGAGCTACCAGAGTTTAATCCCTGTTGTCCGCTAGTCTGCACTGCAATTGCTCCATAAACGTATCAGAAATGGGAGGAGACATGTTTCCAGATGTGGGACATTATACACTACCGTCCAAATTTGAAAGAGCCAGGTAATTTATGAGTTTAAGTAAGCAAATAAGAGAGCTGTGTAGCCCGCCGTAAGATTTCAAAGCACAGAAACAAAACTGTTCGATACCCGCGAGGCCCAATGAAACTCCTACTACTACCTCTACCTACTCGTACCTGCCTAAAATCAATGAAAGATTTTTAAAACCTTGTCATCTTTTTCTTGTTCAAAAAGTTGTGACACAGTTTTGACGCATGCTTAGGATTACCATCCTATTGAAAAGCAAATCCAGGACCAATGAGATTCAGTCCACTGACTATGGCGGAATCTTTAAGAATTTTTAGAAGGCCTTCTTTGTTTAGTTTTCCGGTTTACCTCAGAAGATTTCCGGGTGTATTGTTGCCAAAACACCCCTAACATGACATTACCACCGCCATGTTTTATAGTAGGCACTGTAAATACTTCTGAAGCCCTCTCTTCTTTTGACCGGCGTACAAACACCCGTCTAATGGACCCGAAAATTTAAAACTAAATCGTCCGCCCAAAGGACATTTTCCCATTGATCTATTGTCCAGTTTTTATCCGCCTTTGCTTATTCTAGTCTATTTTTCTTATGTCCAATTGTTGTTTTTGGTTTTTTAACAGCATCACAATCAACACATCCTCTTAGTCCCGCAGACAGTAGACGTCTTTTAACCGTTGTTGTTGAAATGGGTGTTGCTCGCGTATCATTCACAGCTGCGGTTATTTGTGGTGCAGTTAAGCGTCGATGCCGTTTAGAGAGAACTCTGATGAAGTTATCCTCTTGATTTGTTTGGACTACATCACACTGTTAATATTCCTCGGCTGAACAAATGCTTCCCCTATAGGTTGCCTCATAGGAGGGGTACTTTTTTGTTTTTTTTTGTTTTAAAAAACGTTACCCTCACACTAGTATTTTCTCCTGTGTCGTGGAGGCAGTTTACAAACATAAATTGCACAAGGACAAACATCCAGACCAGGAACAATTATTTGTAGGCCATACAAATACTTGTTCCGTGCGGGATTCGAATCCGCGGCCCCAGCACAACAATCGATTGCTAAGCCACTGCGCCACGGAGCCGCCATACTAGTTAATAGTTGATTAAAGTTTGTAAAAAATTACTTCGCGTAGTTACATCCGCTCGATAAAATCAAATGATGTGCCTTACCTAGTTTAGTTAGTTAAACACGTGTCGAATTGTCGTCAGTGGTGTGTCTTTCCTAGTGTAGTAGTGTTGGGAGTAGTAGTGCTGGAATTAGTGGTGACGGGGATAGTGCACGCAATTGAGGGAGGGCGGGAGGTGCTCTCTAGGTAAGACACATAATTTTATTTTATCGAGCGGATGTACCTACGCGAAGTAATTTTTACCAACTTTAATATAATGGACTTCCGCAAAGTAACGCGTGATTCTATTAATTAGCTATAATTGAGTTAATAACAGGAAGATCTTGCTGCCCATCTCTTATTTAATTTCTGTCTATCGCTCTTACGATTTTTTTTTTATAGGATAAGGGTGACAAACGAGCACACAGTCCACCTGATGGTAAGTGTTTGCTGCGGCCCTTAGACATCTACATCTATCCTCTAGTACAAATCAAAATGTAGATGCGTTGTCACCCGTGAGGACCAAGATGGAATGCCTCATTTCCAGTAAAAAAGGCCTCCGGCCACCTGCACTCACCAACCGAAACGCAGAGGTAAACCTCTACTTCACGCTGGTTTTCTGTGAGGTCGTGGTACCACCCCGGTTCGAGCCGGCCCATTCGTGCGACAGCAAAAGCTGCCGCGTGGCTCTACCACTGTTAGCCCGATACCCACAGGCTAATTGTGGTGGATTATTTTACTCCATTGCACTGTAAACATGCTGAATTCTCATATTCATAGTTAATTCATTAGATTTTGTTTTACTGTTTGTCTTTTAACAACACACGCAAAATAAACTAACAAGGTAACAAGTCAACAACCCCTTTGGAACGCAATTAAAATGAAAACAACCCGCCTATCTATCGCGTGTATTCTTCAGGTAACCGAATCGTAAAGAGCGCGACGACAAAGTGCCATCAATAAAGCCGAAGCCGGAAACAAATTTATTTTCGCGACTAATCCGCGCGGATGTCGGGGAAGGGTTCCGTTAAACTTGGAGGGTAGATAAGAAAAGCCGCCTAGATCTGTAATGTTTCGCTTGGAGTATTAGTGCTGACTGCGTTCCTCCCTTTTTACAAGTCTCGCGATTGCAAACTTAGGGGAGTGTGGATATACTTTAATATATTAAAAAGTTGTTATCTGTTCTGGATGGTGGAATAACCGTTTGAAATACGCTAGCAGTGCGACGTGTAACTCCAGTGAGAACCGTGAAAACGTTTTTACGTTCGCCATACGTCTCACGTTTGGTTACATTGTATTATATAATACAATGTAACAAAACGTACAGTTACAGTATCGATTATGACACGATGTCTTTTTTATATTGTCGTCTTATTTTTGGTTACACAATATTATAATAGAAAATTACGACGCATTTGCAGAGTGATTTCCAACGGTAAACGACTTCGAACGGCCATCCAGAGTTACAAAGTCTGCTAATGTGAGAGATGTTTTTTTTTTTAAATTAGGGTAATAAACAACCACATGTCCACCTGATGATATATTTTTATTAAGACCCATATACACTACATATTTCGTCGAGAATAAAAATACTAATGCGTTGCCCTGAGGACTAAGAGGGAATGACTCGTTACCAGTAAAAAGGGTCTCCGGTTCTTTACATTACAGCATTATTGAGCTGTTTCACGCTGGTATTCTGCAAGGGTGTGGTTCTACTAGTTCGTGTAGTATAGCTATACTCGTAGCAGAGCTGCAGCGTGGCCCTTCCACGTAAAATTATGTTGGGACCTGATTGACGTGCGGTCGGCGGGGCATGTGGCTGGCTACAACTACATCTTGCACCATTCATGACATTTAATGAAAATAATAACTTTGTCATTTATGCCCCGCTTCACGTGCAATCGTGCTTTCTAGAGTATGGACGTGCTTACATTTTGATAGCTTTATATAAACCTTAGACACTTAAGTTAAACGACTTAGCTGAAGCTGTGTTTACAAACTTGATTCATATTAGAACAACACTATTCAAAAATCAGCAGAAATGTTAACGAGCTATAAGGTGTGGCTGGGATGACATAAGAATATTTGTTTGTTTAGTTCAAGTATTTCTAACTTGGATATATCCATCATTTTCATATTTATAAATCCACTATTCAACGATGTAACTCGCTAAATGAGACGCTGCCGTATGGCGGCGCTACAAGAGAATCCACTCGACTTCTTACCTTTTATTTATATATTACCTTATAGAGAGGAATTTGCCATAATTGCCACACTAAGCGGGCGGGTTGTCAACCTCAGTTTTTTTTTTTATAAATTTGAGTTGTTATCAGTAATATGCTGCTGCCTATCTCCTGCATCTGTTTTCATATATATACACGTGATATACGTGACTATACGTGGTAGAGCCATGCTGCACCTATATTAGAAGTATAGTTGTAGCACGAATGGGGCGGCTCGACCGGGGAAGGACCACGCTCTCAAAGAAAACCAGCGTAAAATGGCAGCTTGACACTACTGTGTTTCATATCGTGTAGGCTTACCAGATGAAAAAATTAAAAGTCCGGAGAAGAGGCCTGATTGCCATTTAAAAATCCTGAGATTTTTTTACAGTTTGAGAAGAAAAACTTACTTAAAAATGTATCTTCATATTTATTCTCACATCATCTTCACATATTAATTATGATAAAACTGTTTAAGTACCTACTTGGATAAATAAGTTTTGATTTTAATTGTGGAATTATTACCAAAGGAAAATTATTTTTAGTTTGTTCAACTTTTTATTAAAGATATCTTTAAAATGTAAGCTGTATTGTATTGAAAATTCTAAAAATCCTAAGATTTCATGAGATTTGAAAAATCCAGCCGCAATCCTGAGAAGAGTCCAAAAATCCTGAAATCTCAGGACAAATCCTGAGATATGGTAACCCTAGTATCGTGAGTGTAGACAACCGCAGACCCATTTTGCTGGAAAAGAGGCATTCCATCTTAGTCCTCACGGGTGACAACGCATCTGCATTTTGATTCTTTATTGAGGATAGATGTGACATCTATGGGCCACAGCAACCACTTACCATAAGGTGGACTGTGTGCTCGTTTGTCACTCTATCCTATAAAAAAAAAATATGTCGTCTATTATGATATCCGCGGAACAATATTTTAGTTTAGTGGATATTCTTACACCGTCACTACACGTTTAATACAACCTTCTACCCGTATTAAACCGTTAAAAGCAATTGAGGGATATAAATCTATTCGTGTCTACGGCTTCCCCATAACATGCCTGGGTAAAACCAAGTTATTATCACGCAGTACCTACTAGCTTAACGTTGTGACACGTCAACTTGTTTGTGACTGCACCTTTACCTCTGGGAATTATTGACCGTAGTCGAACTTTTTAGAATTTAATGGAATATTTTTTAAACTATTGAAATTGCGTGGATTCTTGTTAGTTTTTAACCGATCTTTTAAAAAGGCGAAGGTTTTTAATTTGACTGTATGTACATTTGTTTTATTTTTTTTTTACTTGTGTTTTGGACAGTGGTAGACTGGTAGAGCCACGCGGCAGCTTTTGCTGTCGCACGGAAGGGCCGGCTCGAACCGGGGTGGTACCACGACCTCACAGAAAACCAGCGTGAAGTAGAGGTTTACCTCTGCGTTTCTCTTGGTGAGTGCAGGTGGCCGGAGGCCCTTTTTACTGGA